ATGAAGATGAGGGAGCATGTGTAGGCACGGTGACAGCAGAACAATTTCATAAGGAATAATACTCAATTCCCCTTTCTTGGTCTTTCCAGGATTCCCCTGGACCCCAATGATATCTCCACGGCGAAGCTTGTTGTTAATACACATATATTCTTCTTCAGATTTGTAGTTTCTAAAAGAATTTTTAAAATTCAAAAAACATTTCTAGGTAAATCTTTTCAGCCTTATCAATGAAGTAGTCACAATCCACTCTATTCTACACTGCAAGGGGAAAACTTCTATAAAGATTTTTTTTTCCCAAATTGATTCACCAATAGTAAAAAAGTATTTACATATCAAGCCTAGCAAAAAAATTGAATTCATTTCAATCTCAGACTTAGTTACAAGATCTGAATTTTGTTCTTAAATTTACCTGCATACAACTATTTTAATGAGGCATTATTTGCTGATTGCCATGCCATAAGAACTTCTTTAGATACACATTGGATCAAGCCAAGTGATCATCTAGTGCAGCATTCTATATCACACAATTCGATGGATTTGGGAAACTCACAAGCTTGGACAGCAGGACAATATCCCTCTTCTACTACTGCTCTGCAACAACTGACATTTAAGATATACTCCCTGGGATTCCAGAGATAGCAAACAGTCATTAAGATAAATAATAGTCAGGTAGACATAATATTTGTTATGTATATGTAGGGGTGTGGGTCTATACGTATGTTGTATATAAGATGTTTAGGTGTGTGTCATGTATGTGTTCACTTTGAGAGTGGGCAACTAAATTTCATTTTTGATGTGTGCCATTGTGCCCACAGAAAAAAAAATGAAAATAAAAGTTATCTTATCTTACAATTTGAGAAATAAGTTGTAAGAAATAAGCCTCTCCTTATGTAGTACCTTGGAATTTGCTCCCTTGTGCCATAAGTATATTGAGTTGCCTACCTAGTTTAATCAATAAAGCACACTGGAATGGTACTGAACATATTAACATATTAAGATATTCTGAGTTAAAAAAATGGAAATCAGCACAATATTCAAAATGCTAAGAGCTCAAAACCTTATCAAAATGTTTTGAGCCTAGCTCTTAAAACAAAGGGTGGGGTTTGAACTCACAACCCTTTTTAAATAGTTAAAATAACATGCAGAAACATCAGAATATTTTCAAGAAGTTATATGATTAACTTTGCTTTAATCCTCTTCTGGAAAGAAAGTACGTATTTGAGACACTATTACTTAATGCAATCTTGGACCACTTATCAGACCATGGTTTTATTTTCATATTCTTTCTACCTTTCCTCAAAAGTTTGGATAGAGGGAGACGTTTAAGACACTGTTGACTCCTGGCAACTTCCTGGACAACTACCTTCCTTTTCTTGGCAATATTTTCAGAAGTGGCTTGCTACTGCCTTCTTCCTAGGGATGAGTGTGTGTAAATTCCCCCAAGGCCACCCAGCTGGCTATGTGCCAAAGGTGGGATAAGAACTCACAGTCTGCCAGCTTTAGCCTGGTGCCTTGTAGAAGTTAAAACTGGCTCTCATCCTCAAATATACAGACCAAAGCAAAACTAAAATATACAATCAGGAAAAAAAGTAACTAATGCTTACCTGGAGTTTGCCATCACCTGTAATTTAACTCCCTCCCCACGAAGATCATAAAATATCAACTTTCCTCCAGAGGCACGTTTTGCATGGATACGACCTCCAAAAACAGAACCAAAAAGAGTTGTCATATGATCACAAAAAAGCACACCATAACAGACGAGCAAGCCAGGAACAAGAGCAACCCCCCCTCCCCCCCTTCCCTGCATTCTCCATCAAGGGCCAATCTGGCAAAGTGACCTAGAAAAGAATAACATACCCTAATGGCTATATCACACTTCTTCCATTCCAAAAGAGCCTTAACAGAACATGACATCTTATCAGAATCCAGTTATATTTCCTTTCTATCTATCTTCTCTGATATAAAACCACTTCTTACTCTCTCCTGGATCCTGTCATACTCCTAAGGGGGAGGGGGGTATGCATGGGGGTTTTATTACTTTCACTTCCTCTATTCACTACAAAGTAACCTTTTGTTGATTGCTTTCGGGTTTGCTAACCATCACAATGTAACCATTTGCCTTTCATCCTATGCCCCTCAGAACTTAGCGAGGAAAAGGGTGTGTGTGAAAAGATGCAGCCTCCGGGATCTGTGTGAGGAGCTGTTGAATGATAGTGCCCAACTGGAGCCATATTGATGTTATCTTTCCTGGATTTAACACCTAGAAATCTGCCGGTCTGAATTGCCCAGAAGAACTGCGGGGTGGGGGCTGCTTCGGGACACTTTAAAACATCGATTTGTAAGGGAATCCCTCAGATCCTGTCTATTATGCCTGCTATCAATTTCTCTTAATAAAAGTTCCTGTTGGAAGAGACCACTTCCAAGATTGAAGTGGTTCCTTACACATCTCCTGGTTTTCCATCAGAAAACACACTAATAGGTGTTTTTCTTTTGTTACTACTTTGAAGCAGAATGTTATCTCAAATCTCAACTACAGCATCTGGGGGGGAGGAGAGAGGAGGAAACAAGATCCGCATTGAAATTGCTTTCTTCCCAATATCCCAAGTGAGCCTTTACCTGCCACTCTTACTGTGACGTTGGTTAGCTGATCCCCTGCTTGCAGGAAGGTATACTTCTCTATAAAGTCTGTCAGGGAGAGATCCACGAGAAACTTATGCGGGTAGGGATCCTCGGAGCTACCCTTCAAGTGCTGAATGGCTTGACTACGGATCTTGTAGTATTGCTGTCAAGACAACGAGGGAAGACTTTTGAAGGACGAAAAGGCTAGAGGGGAGAGAAAAGATCTCGCAAGTAGAAGCTCCCGGCCTCCCTGCCCCGAGCAACGCCGGACTCGCTTCCAGCCGCTAGAAGCCAGCCACTGGGCCGGGCCCACGCGCGGCGGGCGAGCCAGGCCGACCACGCTGGAGGCTCGGCTGTCCCGTTGCCGAGGGGGGGGGGGAAGCAGGCGCGGCCACAGGCTCCCCGCCCGCTCACGTTGGGGTCAAGATTCTCCTCCTCCTCCGCGCCCGCGGCGTCGGCCCGGCGCGACGAAGCCTTCTCGCCCTGCTCCTGCTGCTTCGCCTCCTTCTCGGCCGCCTTCTTCTCGGCCTTCAGGCGCCGCTTCAGTTCGCTGCGAGAAAAGCCGGGGACTTTAGTGTCGCCGCCCAGCCGCGCGCCCCCCGTCCCTTCCGCCGTTCAGCCACCCACCTCGGCTGTCTGCGGCCGCCACTCAAGAGCCGTCGAGCCCAAGCCGGGCGGCCCCCCGACAGCAGCCGCGCCAGGGCCAGCATGGGCGGCCGGCGAAGCGCCACTCACTTCTTGCTAAGGTGAGACTCGGCCTCGCTCGAGGCGGAGAGGCTCGAAGCCGTCGCCATCTTTACCGGCCGGAAGCGCGAGAGGGACTTCCGTCCAGCGAGGAGTGGGCGGGCAGACGGGGCCGTGAGTGGGCGGGGCGTTCAGCCTCAGCGGGGCGACCCCTCCGGCCGGAGGGCGACGATCGCCGGGAGCGCTTCGAGGTTCCGGGCGAAGTTGCAGCGGTTTCCCTTCCCCGCCGGCGCCCGCGAAGGAAGACCCCGAAGCAGCCGGGAAGCGGCCCTTCCCTCCGGCCTCGGGACCTGCCTCCGGGAGAGCGCCGATGGAGGGGCCGAGGGTGCCCGCGCTCTTCCCGCGAGCCACCCGGGAGTTAGAGCAGGTAGTTCGGGCCCCGCGCGTGGAGGAGGCGGGCAGTCCTTTCGGGGGCCCCGATGGTCAGCGGAGCCGTCAAGGCTGCCTGGCCGTCCAAGGGCGCCTGGTCGTCCAAGGGCGCCTCGGATGGGCCAAAATTGAAGAGAAACTGCAACTTCTGAATCCGGTTTTCTGCTGCCCCCGCCTCCGAGGAGCCTTCGCTGCGCTCCCCCTCCCCCTCTCCCACGCAGCGCCTCTGACTCTCCCAGCGACTGACTGCCGTGCTCTGAATTGCTTTCCTTCCAGGAAGATGGCGAGCCATCGGGCTGGGCGAAGCCCGGGGCCCTCGGGCCTTGAAACTTTGAGAGAGTCGCGAACCCCCCCGGCCGCCCAGAGGACGGTGGAGATCTGTGAAGTCAGTGCCATGCCCCCCAGCCGCCGTTCTCCGGAGTCGGAGGGGCGCCCAGAGCCCCCGTCGGCCGCCGTGGCCCTGGCGGTCAAGGACATGAAGCGCCTGATGGGGGAGTTCGGCGTGGACCTGGCCACGGTCACTCAGGCTTTTCTGAAGAACAGCGGAGAAGTGGCAGCCGTAGCCGGCTGCTTGCGGACCGGGCGGCGTCCAGACGGGCGTCCTTTTTGGAACAGACAGGACGATAAGGACTTGCTGAAAGGCCGAGAGGGAGCCAGGAACAACTTAGAAACAAAATATGGAATAGGGAATGTAAATAAACGTGTGTTGTTCAGGGCAAGTTCATGCCAGGAGTGAAAATCGCCAAAGCTGCTGCAGTAGGGACAGTTCTTTTTGTTTGTTTGTTTGTTTTTTGCAATTTTTATTTGCATAGTAAGCTATTTACTGTTAATTATGATTGCAGCTGTTCTTGAATGGTCAACGTGTATCTGACAATAAAGTTTTACAGAACAGACATAGATATTTTGTTACAGCCATGTTTCTCAGTTAATTGACAGAAATATTCTGAATATTAGGCAAGAAGCTATATTTTTTTTAAAAAAAAGTACAGACCACATTATCTACAATGAAGCAGGGCCCAAATCCAGGTCAAGGGAACAGATCCATGGCCATGGAAAGCAGTGCAGCTGTCTACCAGATTGTAGACTGAGTGCAGATTGTGAACTGATGGGACAAGTAACTATAGAAGCGTAGCACTTCCGGAAGGTTTTGGGGTGCTTTTGCTTCCTTATCAGCTACTCCCAACATTGCTCTCAGGGCAAATCCCAGGTGTTCCCTCATTCTTTCATGTCGGGATCCATCTACACAGGCTGCAGCTTCCTGGGGCAGTCTAGCTGTAATGCTTTGAGCTGCTGGAAGCTGGACAGGCAGTTTTTATATTCGACTTGGTCAAGAGATCAAATGCCATGTTCTTTTGTTCATCCTCAGATCTTGCAAGCCGGTAACCCAAAAGTTTCATAGCTTCCTTGCAGATATTTTGTAACATTGCTGTTTGGAGATAAGGAAGAGTCTTTCTCCAAGCCTGTGACACATTCATTGCATCTCTGGCGTCAGTATCAAAGACCTTGGTACCGAGGCCTTGGCCATGTGTGATGTGCTGCACCCAGGACTGAAGACTGGGAAGGAAAGGAAGCCCTGCAAACTGATACAGCTGAGCAGCTCTTGCCAGGGGGGTCTTAACAATATCCTCGTAGCGCACCAAGAGGTAGCGATCTTTGAGGGACTGCTTGATCTCGATGTATATGTCAATGTGGCTTTTGCAAATTGCCTTCATGGCGGCATAGGACTTCATGCCCTTCATATTATTATGCCTCACCACAATCTTTGTGTCACGGGCAAGTTCATTTGGTACATTCTCACGGGAATGGAAAACAGCCCTGGGATCACGGACCAGGTGGATGATTCTGAGGTCCAGGGAGGGGTCAGTGAGGAGAGGATAAAGCACCTTGATGTTGAGGAAACGGACTTCCTTTAAGACAACATGGCTGTATGTCTTACAAGCCTCTTCCACTTTGCTGAATGGATAATTTCCACAGAGTGTCTTGCAGGAGTGTTTGGAGATGATGTCACTGCGCTGGAAAAAGTCACATGCAGGGGGAGAACACAAAGCCCGGCTGGTCTCCCACTGAAAGAGTGCAGACTTATTCTTATGCTCATTCATATAGGCATCAAAGACGGACATGTCACACTTGAAGACTGACCAAATAAGGTCCCGCACTGCCATGTGCAAGACCTTGGCGCTGTTTTGGTACATAGCTGCCCACACATGCCAGGCTGGTTCCATCAGGTAGAAAACACTGGGATGCTGACTGAAGAGCTGCCCTACAAAGGATGATCCAGACCTCCAAGAAGAGAGGATGAGGACATGCTTCTGGGTCGACTTTTCCTGGGGAGTGTGCTGAAGCTGAAAAATGAAACAGAGGAGAACTGCTCCCTGAATTACTAAGATCACCAGAACGTCAGTCTTGTTTAGCTTCAACATGGCTGCCTGGAAGTGAGAGCAGAAGAAAGACAAGTGTCAAAATGCTAAACTATGTTTCCTTGTTGTCTTAATAGCTGCTGCTATTAATTGCTTGTGGTAGCTGTCCTGTAAACTGTACAAATATACCGGTACTTGGAATATTGTGTGTTGTTCTGCTCGTCATACCTAAAAAAAATATTCGACTTTAGAACCCCTGTACTGTAGAAATAGGCCTAGACCCCACTTTCCCAGGCAAAGGAAGTCCAAGAGTGATCAGAAAATTATAATTCTCATGGCACTAGTTGCTGTAGAACTTACATGACAAGGCAAATCTTGATATCCAGTTCATAGGATTTCATAAGAGATCCAATTGATTTTTGGAACACTCCATAAAATTGTAAGATGGCAGTTTCCAACTCTTTAATGTTACAATCCAACCTTTATTCTACTGCCAGCCATAGTCCATGGACAGCAGGTAGTTATTGGCTTGGTCAATGAAGCAGAATGTGGCTGCTGTAAACACGATTATCATCCGACACATGTTAATTTTGCACGGGTCATAATTCAGTCTGGCCTCTGCTATTTTCATTCAATAGAAAACAGTCGCATCTCAGCTTATGGCCCTCTCCCCATGTGCAGCTTGGTCTTCCGCTTCCAGATTATACATTTCCTACTTAGCACTTGTCTCACTTACCTCTTGAGCCTCTGGGAGTTGACAGGAGCTCACAACTTTTGTATTGACTGCAGCCAGCTGAGGAAAAAACTCCCTTCCTAGAGCAGGGGAAGTACACACTGCTTGCCAGCTGTGATTCAATATACACTGCTGTGGGAAGGAGCTGTTAGGAGGAAAAGACTCCAAAAGGGAAGGGGGAGGGAAGGGGAGGAGAGGTAATGGGGAGGGAGCCTCATTAGGTCAGGCCATCCTCTATGGTACAGAAACAACAGGTGCTAGAAGAAATAAGGATGCCCTTACAAATGCCTGAGGAGGGTGACCCACAGATAAAGCCCAGGAAGGGCGCTCTACACTTCTCTTCCCACATGTAGAGCCTAGGATAATTATTGGAATGCAAGCCAGACTCCCTTCATCCTGCTCATGCTATATCTGCAGAACAAATGGACAAAACAGGCTTGCTGAATGCAAAGTTTAGGCAAAACCTCAGGCTGAATGCATTGTGAATCAAAATTTGGGCCATGCCAGGGCCAAGGAAACAACTCTGAAGGACTACTGATGGTAAGCTACCTGCTTCTCTTCCCAGGTGCCCTAAGTGGCAGGGAAGGAAACAGCTTTACTTAGCCCAGACCTGGGATTCTGCCCACCAACCAGGGCATAATGATACTTGAAGGAAACACAAAGGCCCTTGCCACATGGCTCTGCACAGGACTTTGTCTTGCCATAACCAGGAGGTCCAGGGAAAGGGAAGAAAGACAGCCAATGGGTGATCATACTGATGGGAGAATGTGAAATCCATTTCCTCTGCTGGCAGAGGAGATGGTCCCATGCATACCAGCTATCCTGGGGGGTCACGTGCCAGAAGAATAAAGGTGGCAGGAAAGTTAATTGCAAATGATTTCCAAGCAGCATGCCTTTGCCAGGTTTCCACATTCTCCTCTTCCCTCCATTCTCCTGTTTGAGAGGTGGGGGGGTGCTGGACTAGAAGACCTCCAAGGTCCCTTCTAGATTCTATTCCCATGGTGGCGAACCTATGGCACGCGTGCCACAGGTGGCACGCAGAGCCCTCTCTGTTGGCACGCGCACCGTCACCCCAGTCCTAGGCCTTCAGCTGGGTTTTATAAAACCTTTTCGCTTTAGGCGTTCACCACCCTGTGCAAAAATAAAAAGTTCAATCAATCAATCAATTTCAACTTCTCACGGGAAAAGAAAAGATCTTGTAAAGTTGGAATTGATTGAACTTTTTAGTCCCACCCAGTCTGCTGTTACCACCACAGCCACGCCCACCCAATGGGCCACACCCACCCAATGGGCCACACCCACCCAGCATCGATGATACATAAGTGGGTTTGGGGTTGCAGTCTGGGCACTCGGTCTTTAAAAGGTTCGCCATCACTGTTCTATTCTGTTGTGTTGTGTTCTGTTCTGTTCTATTCTTCCTAACTCGAAGGGTCTTCTAGTCCAAACCCCTGCTCAAGCAGGAAACCCTATGCTATTTTACATAAATGGTTGTTCAAACTCTTTTTAAAAACTTCCAGTGTTGGAGCACCCACAACTTCTGGAAGCAAGTCGTTATGCTGATTAATTGTTCTAATTGTCAGGAAATTTCTCCTTAGTTCTAGGTTGGTTCTCTTCTTGATTAGTTTCCATCCGTTGCTTCTTGTCCTGCCTTCAGGTACTTTGGAGAATAGCTTGACTCCCTTTTCTCTGTGCCAGCACCTGAAGTCATGGAAGACTGCTATCATATCACCCTGGTCCTTCTTTTCACTAGATTAGACATACCCAATTCCTGCAATCCCAATTCCTGCAATCATTTTTCGTATGTTTTAGCCCAGTCCAGTTCTAATCATCTTTGTTGCTCTTCTCTGCATTCTTTTTAGTTTCAGCATCCTTTTTATAACATGGCAATGAAAACTGAATGCAATATTCCAAGTGTGGTTTTATCAAGGCATTATAAAGCGGTACTAACACTTCATGTAATCTTGGTTCTATCTCTCTCTTAAAGCTCCCTGCAAGTCCTTAATACTTCAGCAAGGCTCAAAGCTGACACCAGGACCAGCTGGCTTCATTTACTTGTCCTCATCTAGAAGAATTTGGAAACAAGTAATGTAAAGAGTTCCCCAATGCCTGATGATCAGCATGGTTAACTCTCCAGAAATTGATCATAACATGGACAAATTTGGTTTGCAGGAGGTGCCAAAAATGGTCTGATCCAGCTGTGAGCTGTTGGAAAACATTCCAGAAAAAAAAAATCCCTCCAGGAAATCCTGATGGGAGAAGTAAACAGGGCAGCAGCTTGGAAAGGCTAGGTCATCTGGTAGCTATCCAGAGATAAGCAATTCAGCACTCTGACAACAATAGCAGAAAGTGGCATCTTGCTATTTGTTCAGAGATAGGAAAGGTGAGAATGTTCAAAATGTTTATGATCATATTATAAATTTTTATTTTTAGCTTGCATATTAGAAGATTTTTACAGCAATCTTCTTAGTGGCTCTTTTATAAAATTCAAGCTGCTGACCCTATTCAAAGCAACTTTTGCAGCATATGGAGAAATATTTTTTCTAAGTCAACATAGGTATTTTTTCCAATATCAGCGGGATTGGAATGGGGTACATTGCCAGGCTAAATGAAGATGAGTGACTTAGGATCAATCTGCACAACCCAATTCCAGTCCCAGAAGGGGCCAAAATGATGTCCTCTATCCACACGCCAGGAAGGCACCCTTCCCCAATTTACGCATGTTTGCTGTGCATAAAACATAGCAGTTTCTGGCTCCTGACAGTTCAAGCAAGTTTGCCCCAGTGGCTTACAGCTCCCCATTTCCTTCCAGGCCAACATCTCTCTAATTAGTTACTGTGCACTGAAGCAGCAACAATCACTTTCCTCTTGTCCCTTTCCAGCCCCCCCCTCCTTTTTTTGAGTTTGCCAGTGGAATGGCAAGAGCTGATTTTTGGCTTAACAAGTCAATAGAGAGAACCACAAATGGATGGATCTGTCCTTGAGTGCTTTGATCAAGTGAAACTGGCAAGAATTGTGCCACGTTCCCCTTGGCCCAAGCAGGGCTTTTTTTCTCATAGAACGCCCAGAACGGAGTTCCGGCACCTTTTTTGAATGGAACCTTGTAGGGTAGGCAAGGCGGGTTGTATGGCATGTGTGAGTTCCGGCACCTTTTTTTTTTTTAAGAAAAAAAGCACTGCGCCCAAGTAACACATTTTTCCTTTTGCAAGATGAGTTTGCATAGTTTTTGCACACAGTCAGACATTTACCATGCATTTATTCATACAAAAAATACAATAACTTATGAACTTCAAATGTGTGTACAAGAAAACGGATTGCAGGTGCACTCTGGGGTGGGGGAGACATGAGGGTTTTTGTAGGTCTGTGTAGCACAAGGGTAAGTTCTGTGCCTGTGGAAGAGTTGGGCATTTTCTGTTCTGGCTTCCAGCGGGCATGCAGATTCTTTCTCACAGCTTCCTGTAGGCTCTAGAAATCATTCAGCGGGTGACTGAAAGCTGTCAAGCATGCCCAGGGCTGCTGCTGAAGTTCCTTGAGCCTGCTGGGCAGGAAGGAGTGTCACTGACAGCCTACTTCTAGCCAGGCCCTAGCAGTTCAGAGTCCAGAACAAGAATGATGGTGCTGAGTCAGCTGCTCAGGGAGCAAACTCGGAGCAGATGGAGTAGAAGATCAGGTGCATGTGCTCAGGCCTACTTGTCACATTCCAGATCCTGGGTCCCTTCTCCCCCTTGATAGTGCTTCTCACAGAAGTAGCGGATACGCTGGCAAGCTTCCACCATCATCTCCTCAGGCACGGTGATCACCACACGGAAGAAGTTAGGGTACTCAAAACACTGCCAGGAGAGACAGCTGAGCCATTAGCCAGTATACTCCCTTGGGCCTTCCTAGCTTCCCAAGCAGAGCACTGGGGTTAATGCCATGCAAATCAGTCCACTGGGCCTTTTAATGGAAAGCTGGGACAGGAGGGTAGCCAGTAGAAACAGCCATTTTATTTTCTTACAAATCCCACTGTACCTATTCCCCCTTGACCCCATGTTCAAGGTCAGATACAGTTTTCCTTCTGTTTTTAAAGAAAAGCTTGTTCCTGTTTCATCTCCCATAGCCTCCAAGTTGGCTACCAGGATGACAAGCCACAGATATAGCTGCAGAGGGAAGGATTCCAACCCATTTATTTCTAATATGAAAATCCCCTGGAGAAAGAGACGGTGCAGCAAGGAACATGGCGGTCTCCAGCCAAGGATTTAGCTAGAAGAAGATATTGCAGCACCTTTCATACCAGCCTCCAGGAATGTGGAGCTGGGCCCATTTTCAGCAAAAATAAGAACTAGGGGAAAGAGAAGCAGCTGAGAGGAGAGCTGAAGCCAGGCTGAGAGTTTCCATCAGGAGAACTAACTATCCCGGCATTCAGCGTCTTCCCAAGGAGAAACAAGCTCACCGTGGCAGGCAGACAGAAGACCGACTGCTCTGCAATTAGCCTCTCTGTGAACTCCACATCGTTCTCAAAATCTGGGAAATGTTCCATCTCAATCCCCACCTAGAGCCGTAGGGGTAGAAAACCGGTCATAGCCAAAGACCCTCCCTTCTCCCCCAAGGAACAGCCCCGGCTGGGGTGTCTTCGGGGAAGGAAAGAAAGCGCCTCCCACTCCAACAGCCCTTCCTTCGCCCCCTCCAGGCAGGCAGCTCACCATCAAATACATGGCTCCCTGGGGCCGGATCGGCTTCAGTCCACAGACGGTGGAGAGGGCAGCATAGCACAGGGCAGCATTGGACTAGAAAGAGCAAATCGGGAGGAAGGAAGTCAAATCGCCGGCAAGGAAATCTTGGTCCTCCTCACTCAAACAATTGGGCAGGCCCACCAATGAGAACAGTGACGGATTAAACATGCCTTACCTCAAAAACTAGCTGGACTGCCGGAAAGGTGAAATATAGAATCTCTGCTTGCAACAAATGTAATGTAAGCACATCCTGCTCAGTTGTGTTAGGATGTGAAGGAGAGCGAAAGCCTCTGGTCTCTTTCCACAGCCCGTTTTCCCATCTTTCACACAGCCCTTCACGTCCCCACAGAGCTGCAGACATTGTGCTTGCTCATTTTTGAAACCCCTTTTGACTCTTATCTTTTCTAATAGCAGAAAGTGTTCTAGTATCCAGACTTCCCAATTAAAGGAATAAAAACAGTAGATATTGTCTTTTCTTGAAACCACTTTGGTAGCAGTTTGCTTTCAAACTGGTGAACAACAAAACAAAATATGCTCTCCCTTCAGGGTCTTTGCAGAAATATATTAATGTCCCATTTTTAAACCTTAGAGCTAATATTACAGAAAGAAATAGCAAAGCACATTGGAGAGAAGACCGCTGCTCATCTTCCATAGCAGGTCACCTGCTGGGCAGAAAGGAATCACTGCCGAGTTCAGGGCAGTGAGACAGGAGTTGTACGATCATGGGACTGACTTGGCTTTCGCTATCTTTTTTATTTCAATAAAAAAGTAAAAAATTGCTGCACCCATGTTTCAGAAGCATGCTCTGCTGCAGGTGTTGGCAGCAAGTTCTGAATGTGGGAGCTTGGCTTCTCCCTTTTCTTTGTCTTGCTACTTTTCTTGGAGAACAAAGCCGGAAAACAGGTCAACTGATCAGGTGTATGTGTTCCCACAACAAAAATGAGTGAGTGCACTTGACTGGACCTGCTTGGGATTAAATTTAGTGCCCTTGAGACTGAGTTTATTAACCTCCCCATCACAACTGACCCATTCAGCCTAGTGGGAACTGAGTCTGTCTTGGCTTCTTTCTGAGGGTATAAGCAACTCTATTGCAATGCATTCTTAGAAACAGTTGAGGCCTACCTTGAGGAAGCTGAGAGTGTTGTGATAAAATTCAGGGGATGTGTGGTGGAAGATATGCCCAAGGGCTCCCTGGACAGCTGTGCAGGGCCCCAAAATCCTTTGGCTCAGTCTCAGAAGGCCTTCCCTGATCTTTAAGGCACGCAGAGAAAGGAGGGGGAGGGAAGCATCAGATTCCTGCCTATAGGTCGGTCCCCCATCCACCAGGCCTTTCATGGTTCTCTTGCCCAGCATGAAGAGGGGCAGCAAGGCATAAATCAGGGAATGGTTGGGTCTGAGATCACCTGAATGGGCTTTGCTTTTCTCTTGGAATTGAACCAAGAGGGCCAGCTCTTCCTCCTCCCAATTGGAACAGACCTGGGCAACCCAGCAGCCAAGTATGTATTTCTCTACCTCCTCTCCAAAGATGTCCCGGCGGTCGTGGATCAGAATCCATCCCATCCTCCAGCCAGGCACCAACCACCGCTTGGCAAGGCCTCCACAGGACAGGATCGGGACATTAGTGCTGAGCTTTGCAAGGGACTCGTATTTGCAGTCTTCAAACACCTGAATGTGGATGAGTTGGAGGAATCCAATTTAGTGGCTGGTCAAAACTCTGAAAATGGCATCCCATACTCAGCCTCTGACACAAAAGCAGGCCTCTCTTAAAGGCCATCCCTGCCATTGTCTCTAAGCTTTGTGTTATTCCAGCAAAACCAGCCCTCTGCTCCCCTCCCAGCCATTTTTCCATTCCTCTACACAGATGAAAGCTGCTCCTCACTCACCATTTCTGCATAGATCTCATCAGCCAAAATGGGGACACACTGCCTGGAGGCCACTGAGCAACAGAAGGAAGGAAGGAAGACATTCAGCAGGTCACCAAGTGCCCACAACTTGGATGGGCTCCGTAGCCTGGAGCCTCTTGTGACTCCTTCTCCATGCAAAGCAGCATAGAGTTTAGCACAGGGACACATGCATGAGGCAGCTTCAAAGCTGGTCAGAAGAAATACCTGCCAGAATCTTCTGGAGGTGACTTCTGCTGAAAACAGAACCGCAGGGATTGGATGGGTTGTTCACAATCAGGCAAGCTGTTCTGTTGTCCACCAGAGATTCCATTTGCTTCAGGTCAATTTCCCAGGACTTTTCTGGCTGATGGCAAAATGGAAAGGAGGATGAAGAGAGAGTGGGGAAGCCTGAAATCAAATAGCCATCTTCACTCTGGCTATGGGGTCTTTGCTCCCTGCCTGCGTCAGAAGTGATGGGTAGGTAAAGGCGAGGGCAAGAGGGACTGGTGGCCAGCCAAAGAAACGCGGTGCTGTATAAGAAAAACTTGCTTTCTTGATCCCAATTTACAGCTCATAAATCAAGAGCTGAAGAGTGCTATGAAGTTTTGTTGATCAGTAGCTGCAAGATGTTGGAGGAGAAGACAAAAGTTTCCAAGCAAGCAATTTAACATATTGGTTATAAACGTTAGAATGATCACACACCCAGGAACAAACAATGTTTGATCTAAGATAAGGTAATGGTTGTTCTTGATCATAGTTATTTCTAACTTGCCTCTTTCTCTGGAAATTGTGCAAAAAAAGGAATTTGAACAGAGAGAGCTTGTTTCTAGTTCTTGCAAAGCCTCTCTCTTCTCCAACAATTTATTTGGTGCACCCAATATGCTATCGTAGGGGTTTCTAGCTATTCTTTTGCACACCCTAAATGTGGCTTTGGTTTTGACTACTAATATTGCAATGGTTCCAGCTCTCTTTGGGACTCCTCCATCAAAGCCCAGCTCTCCAAGCCTTGAACCTTGATTCTGTTTCATTTTTGGGAGGTTAGGGTAAGGGTTCCCACATTCAGGTCCAGCTTACCAAGAGATTGTAGAACTTGACTTCGATTCCCATAGAGTGAGCCAAGGTTTTGTAGAGGGAGAAGCCAGGGCGTGGCACCAGGATGTTCTGTCCAGGGTTAGCCAGGACTGCTAAAGCTAATTCAATGGCTTGACTGCAGCCACTGGTCAGGATTACATCCTGGGAGGGAGGGAGGGAGGGAGGGAGGAAGTCACTGTTAGTCGAATGCGCATTTCATAGCTTTCAGTTCAACAGACCCACATAAAGATCAGAGCCATAGGAAACTTAAATGATTATTACACACTTGAAATTAGGTGGGGAATCAAAACCCAAGCCCCTCTCCCCAAAAATGTTCTTACTCTTTCTCAACATAATATGTATTGTTACCTGGGCTTTCAGAGGTGCTTCTGGACAATTGTAGTAGCTTGCAACCACCTCTCGACAAGATAGGTAACCTGTGATAGGTGGGAGGTGGGGTGAACTGAGTGTTCAGTGCTATGGCTGAATTAAAAAGACTTCTAAAATGAGAACTTCCTGAATTCCAGTCTTAGAAGCCTGCACAGGATGTTATTTAGTGCCCTCCCCCATCCTTTTGCTAAGGATTCCCGCAAATTAATAAAATAATCTGGGACTTTCAGCTCACATAGCAGACGCCCTCCCCTTTGACCAAGTTCCCTATCAGGGTCAAAAATAATTTCTGTGGGACCTCAAGGCCACTGTCTGTTAGTGCTCCCCCTGCCTCACCTTGGATTTTTCCACAGAGCCCAGAGACTCACCCACAGATGGGGCATAGCCATTGTATTTTCCAGAGTCCAGTGCTTCTTTCATGGCCTGTGTGACTTCATCATCTGTAGGAAGGTTTCCAAAGACAGTTGGATCTCCTGTAGAAAAGTAGAGGGTGAGGATGCCTAGGCTGGACAGTATCAAAAAGGGTTAGGGGTCAGAGTCTCTCTGGACTAGCCTAATCAACCTACTCACCTATGGACAAAGATATCAGAGCTTTCCTGGGGTTGGGTTCCACTTTCATGGCATCCACAATGGCTCGAATGGGATTGAAAGTCCTTCTAGACATTTCTGAAGCCTTGACCGCCCAGTGGGGCTTACGGCCTTTTCCCTTGGGCAAAGAAGGGCTTTTCCCATTGAGGTTGACATGGACATCTAGGACGGAGGACAGGGAGGTGTTGCTGTTCACCTGGATCAGGCAGGAGTCCATCTCGGGAAGGGAGACCCTACAGGGGACACAGAACAAGGCTGATGCCAACTCCAAAGCTGTCCCTCTGCCTGCCATTAGCTACTGAAACCCAGCAGGCAATCAATCCCAGCAGCAGAGGGATGGGGGGGGGGGGTAGTAAGCGGCTGCCTGGGGTGATGCTAGCAGGCTCCCTTTTATGTCCTGTACAGATACCAGTTTAGCAGCCACAGCACAACCAGGGAGAGAAAAGTGTTGCAGCACAGTACAGCTGTCCTTGAACCTCTCCTGCTCCTTCCCCTCCTCACTCACTCTGGGAGTACGAACTTTGGCCTGTGAAAAGCTGGGCCTTTATGCACAGGATAATCCAAGTTCACATTCTGAAGGCTATCAGGAAAGCAATAAATCCAGCTGCTCCCCTCCCAAATCCAGGCGATGAAAACCCATTACAAAAAATCTGATAAAGCACCTAAAACCAATTTGTTCTTCTATCTGTTAGAATGAGGTCTCACAATATCCAGATATAAATAACACAGAACATTTCCTATATTCTTATGTAAAGGGAATATGTATCAGTTGTGTGCAAAAATGTTTTAGGTTGCATTCTATAGTTTTCAAAGTGTCAGAACGAATTGTTCCATTTCATGTTACGTTAGTCATGCCCTGCCTTCAGTCCCGGTTGCAATGCAAGATTTCAGAGAAATTGAAACCAATTCTGAGGACAAAAGAGTGACCAGGGGAACAGAAAAACAGGACCTAAAGGACCTAAATATGTTTAACCTGGAGGCAAGATGGGGAGGAGCAAAATAAGAACTCCCCCCTCCTCAGTTTACAAAAGAATTAATGCAGAAGAAGGTCAAGACCTTTTCTCTCTTGTTCCAGAGGACAAGACACAGAATAATGGACACGAGTTACAAGAAGCCACATCTGAATTTAATATTGGTAAAGCTTTCGTAACAAACTGCAAAAGTTTGACTGAGGAAATGATTACCCAAAGAGTAATTGTGGCCTATTAAATCATCCAGTATTCTCAGGTTGTACTCCATTTGGAGCTGCCAGTCAAAAGGGAATCTGTAGGTCAATTCCCTGGTCCTGGCATTGTCCTCTGGTTTATTTATTCTCCTTTTGGGGTTCTCAGGCACTGTGCCTGTACAAGGCCAGGTCATCCCCTACAGTCTTCAGTAGAGAGGGCATTCTGGCATTCTGGTTCTGGTTAGGAAGAGTTCAGAGAGCACCAAATGCTGCACAAAGTTTGAAATGACCCTTGATTAAACTTACTTGTAGTGGGGTTGTTGGTGTCTTTGAACCTGTTTCTTTTCAATGCTAGCACTGATGATGTTACCTAGTTTGGCTAATGAAACATCTACAAGAAAACAACCAAAATCAAAGAGCAGTAAGGACCCCTCATTTCAACCCTGAGCTACAAAGATTCTCCTCTATTATTACTTGTAGAGCTTCTTGGTTCAGAAACCCCAGATGTTGGTGACTTACCTGAAATACCCAAAGATGTGGCTGCAGCTCAGTGTGATGGTGAAGATGAGCTGAGAAGCTTCCAATGTGGTTGAACCAAAAGGCAGAGCCAGAGTGCTAGAACACAAGTCCTTTTATGCATGGCAAGCCTGCAGCCACCTAGAATCGAGAACAGGGTGTCAGCCTGGAGTCCTCCAGCTATTGGCTGATGTGGAGGGTTGTACTTCCCACCCAGGGACACCCCCAACTCTGACTCCATCTGGCTCCAAACATCTGGAACAAACACGGGCTGCACATTAACTCTTTCAGACAAGGGCCAAAACTGTTTGCTGGAACCACATTGCTCCCCTTCCAGAGCCAACCATCCAATCTGGGTAGAATTCTTCTTGGCTTGCCTGGCACCTGAGATCCATCTGCTCTCAAGGTCAGGAAAAGCCACCAGCCCAACTGAACTCCCATGGGTGGAAGAGTGGACACCTTCAGAATCTAACCAAAGAGACTACATGATGTGATAATAGGAGTGAAACCCAAAGAGTTAACTTCAGGCATGGTCTAAGGCTTTGCCTGGCATTTAAGGCAGCCTGATGCAATCCATGAGGCCCACCTCATCAGCTCCACGTTGCAAAACACAATAATTGATCCCAAATGCTCTAAGCACCAGCTGGGAATGGGAAGGCACCACACACCGTCAACATATTTGCCCTCTCCTCCAAGCATCAGTTACCCACTTTATCAACCATCACTAATATTTAAAGGGGAAAGAAATTTCATATTTCTCCAGAATTCTGCTTTCTGTGGAGCAGAGGAAATCCACAAGAAGTCAGTGGCTGAGTTTGATCCTTCTCTGAATCCTGGCATTTTGTAAAGATGGCAGCTATATTGACAGACAAGAGTAGGACTCTGGCTACCTTCCTCGAAAGTACCTTCTTTCGTGAATCTTGGTGGACACTGAGGGTAAATATTTATGTGCCAGAGTCTCCAGGTCCTCAGCCAGTCCAACACTGAAGAACAAAGAAAAGAAAGCAAAGGTGGAGGATTGCCCCATTAGTATCTGTCCTCTGCCAGATCCTGGTCAGTGCTCCACCAACCTCCAAGGACAGTTGTCTATTTCTCTGTCCTTCTCAAGTCTTGTGGAGGTCTCCCTCCAAAATTTCAGATTCCAGCAGACAAGGTCATGCAACCCTCACAGGCAGCCATGCTCCTCCCCCAGATGGGCAACCCAGGATTGTCCACAATTTCATCCAAAAGACAGCTCAGGCTTGAATCTGCTTAACAGAGGGGACAGCAAGGCTCATTTTCCAAGATGCACATGAGATTATTCACATGTTTCTGATGCTGCTTCTGCAAGTAATGTGTCAAGCAGTGGCAGGAACACAGATGACGGGCTCTCCAACCCCCTCATAGCCCTCAGCTCTCTTACTTCAACTGCATCCCACACATATACCTTGCCCCAAAGCCTAGCTCCTTTGCTTTAGCTTGGAGATGAAGGAACCGAGGAACCAACGTGATAGGGGTAGGAGCAGTGAAATAAGTGGAGATTGCAACAGACAAAATCCTTGTCTCCACCTGATTCATCCTTCCTTCGAACCACACCATCTGCTTATTAAATAATTACAAAGCCCATCATTCTCCAAAGCACCAGAGGGCAAGACAAGAAACAATAGTTGGAAACTGATCAAAGAGAGAAGCAACCTGGAATTAAGGACAGTGAGGACAATTAACCAGTGGAACAGCTTGCCTCCAGAAATTGTGAGTGCTCCATCACTGGAGATTTTTAAGAAGAGGCTAGACGATCACTTGTCTGAGATGGTATAGGTTCTCCTGCTTGAGCAGGGGGCTGGACTAGAAGATCTCCAAGGTCCCTTCCAGCTCTATTCTATTCAATATGTGGGGGTTTCTGCAAGCATCCCTACCCTGTTTTGGACAATCCTTCTGTGTCAGGTCTTCAATCATCAGAACAGCCCCTGCACGTTCCATCTTCAATCAAGATGATTCTGATTCCCCTCTCCCTGCTCTTTCCCAGCCCCAGATCAGCAAGGAAAAAGAGACCCCAGGAAGATTTCAGATCAAAAAGTGGCTGGACTTAACTGAAATACTTCATAGGTCAGGCAAAGGAACAAAGTATCAGCCTTCCCCAACACCTAACAAGGTATTATCTATTTTTCTCCTTGCTTTCCTAATAAGTAGATTTCATTTCTCCCTAGCTGCTTTAATGCCCATTCTTGGCCATCCATCAAGCTATACTGATAGAAATCTTATTTGTGTCCATCAGCAGTTACAGGCACCCACCCAGTGCCTTGAGTAGGAGGAGCAGGACAGCAGAAGCACAGGAAATGAGGGAGTGCAGACAGGTGAAAGCCCCTTCCATCTCTGTCTCCTCCTGCGCCAAATCTGTCTTTGAAGCCAAAGTCAATATTAACTAATTTCATCATTGGCATTTGACATGTGCTTTTCTATTACTATCCACTTGCACAGCCTGTTGTCTATGGCCTCTTCCCCTCTATGGCCTTGAAGCCCCAGTGAGTTAAACAAATAGACACCGAGGCCTCTGTTGACTTCAGCCACAGGCCTTTTCTGAGAGGCCAACTCCTCAGCAGAATAATGCACCTTTGTGGAGGAAGAGCTGGCATCTGAAGCACTCTCAGAAGGGATGAGCCTTCTGCCACCTCTCCAGTTTCATGTTGGCCAGGAGGTCCTACAGGGGGCAGCAGCAGCCACCAGCTAGCCTAGAGTTTATTTGTACTATCAGCAAAATTACCACACGCCCTCTCAGACCAACACCCCCAGCGCAATGATTCCATGAAGCAGAGCAACAGGAATGTTTCAGTGGTCCTGCTGGCATTTTCTCCTAGGATGGCCATTTCCATAACTGTGAAGCCAAGAAGAGGGGTGAGAAAAGAAATGGTCATCTTTGGAGAAGGTGCCAATAGGACTACTGGCCCATTCCTGTCGCTCTGCTTCATGGAAAGATTGTGCTGGCTTCCCAAGAGGCCAAAGGGTGAGAGACGCTAAGCAGCACTGGGATAACAGTGGACACTTGGCAAGGTGAGAATCAGCATTAATTTGGCCAGACAGAGATGTTATGCAATCAAGGAGGAAGTCTGTTCAGTCTTGAGCCTGTGGAAAGAATTGCCCAAAGTCAGTTGACCCTGAAAAACAGGAGGAAAAGGCTTAACCTTTAAATCTTGCAAAGAAAGAGAGCTTGATTTTGGCTTGATTTCTACAGTAGGCCAAACTTTTACACATGTATGCATTTTTTCTCCTTGTTGACCATAAAACAGTCCATCAATCAATACCAAGTTCTTCATGTTTCTACTGTTTCCTTGTCCTGAATGTGGGGCTGCGTTTCTTAAACATAAGAAATATAAATCTCATGACCTGCACAGAGGCCACTACCAAGGGCAGGGTGCTTGTGGCTCCACCTCACCCTTTTTCCACTTCTTGGAATATGAAGCAATCACAGCAAGCTAAAACCACTACACTTGGGAGTGCCCCCTTCCTAGGTAAGACAGCTGCCCCCATTCTTGTGCTGAAGAGGTGGCTGTCCATTCTGT